AAGGTAGTGCTTGGCAAGCTTTTCACTCTAAATATTGCCCTATAATTTTTCAATAGTTGCAAATTCACAACCATTTCAGACTCTCAATAAATTAAGAACAACAGAAATATGAAGCATCAATACTTAAAACAATGAAAAAAAAATAGAAGGTAACATTGACACTTATTAGACTAAAGTTTCAATACTTATAATTCTAGGATTAAGGTTAATTGATAGTTTAAACAACTGTATTAATAAAGTATATACTAATCTTTTCATTTGCCATAAAAGAAAAGCAACCCGACTAGCAGCATATCTGATACCCAATTGCTTAAGAAATTGTAAAGTTTTGCTGCAAATTTCAAAGCTAGATTCTCTTAACTGATTTTGTATAGTTTTTTGAGTAAGATCAGGATCAGTGTTTAATTTTATTAAATGCTGGTTCTCACCTAATTCTGTCGCCAGTTCACGGGAATCACATCTTTATAAGCTATATATATATATATTGTTTGTCACGACTCCACAATAATGTTCCATATTAATAACTTAATAATTTCAAGAGTCGAATTTATTATAAAGTAAATATATATTGTTTTTGTAAAGGATATTTAAGATTTAAATTTTAAAGATAGTATTTGAAAAAGTTTATTTCTTTTAATGAACCAGACTAATGTTGAGAATATACCCTTAATTAAAATAGTCCATAAAAAGAGTAAAAAAACTTATTTCTTTAAATGGACTACACTAATATTGAGAATATACCCTTAAAATAGTCCACAAAAAAATTACTTTCAAGATGTATGAAAATTTATTTAAAAATATTTTAATAATAGAATCCTGTGTTACGGTCTGCCCTGTGACGGACTGTAACATTAGGACCCTTGATAGGAGGAGGGAAGGGTCCAATATCAAGGGGCCCTCCACCTTTGAATGGTGACGATGGTTACAGTTCGCTACAGAGTGGATTATAACACAGTTTTTTGTTTTAATAATAAATACCCAAAAAGATAAGAATAAAAAAGCCAATGCCTTGCTAGCATCCCCTACTCAAACCGGCATGACAAGAAATGCATGTATCTAAGCATATTTTATCACCAATTTTCAAAGCAAACTTCCTCCAATTCTACAAGATATTTATGCCAACGATTAAAATATAAAATCATGAATGAAACGAAAAAGGGTTTATTGACCATCTCCATCATTTATTTAAAGAGTTGAAGTGAGTGTTATCACCACTATATATTTCAACTTAAATGCAGTCTTTCTATATGGACCATGGTGATGGTGGTTGGCACTAATGCAGATATGTTAGGTGGTAAACCATGTTATAAAACTTTATTTGACTCTCAAAAAGCTTTTCTGGCAAATCGGCAATTGCCAACAACAGTATGTATGTTCTTCAGAGTTGGGCAAAATTTCTTGAGCAAAATTTCTTGGACTCAAAGGGCTGATGCTCATGGATGTTGAGAATGAGTTGGTACGACCACATCTAGGCCCAATAATGGTGAGTATTCTCTGGAGAGTTGGGTGGGCCGAAGCTCATGTTTCTTAGATCGAGTTGGTCCAATTACATCTAGGCTCAATTATGGTGGTCGGGATTTTAAGCTGGGCCTGGGCATAATTAAAATTCAATTGTGTTCTGTTTTAATTCAAATTTTGGTATCTTCATCTCTTTTTTGAGAATTTCTTGAATTTGTTAGTAAATTGCACTTTAATTATTGATTGATATTATCAGTTTTTAAAAACAATAAAAGATAAAAAAATAATAAAATTAAGATAAAAATATTTTATCGAATAATTTAAGATTAATTTAAAATTAAAAAATTATTATTTTAAAATAAAAAATATTATATACCGATTTAAATAAAACAACTGACAACTATCATCTTAAATCATTCCAAAATTCGCCTCCAAAAAACTTTTTTTTTTTATTTTAATTATATACTAAAAAATAATTATTTTTTATTATTATTCTATTTTGCTAGTATATCATATAGTTTAAATATAAAATTTTTTTATTTTTA